TGCTATACAGTATAAACTTGTTTATTTATTCTATATATACCTGTCAGTATCTACAAATTTCGAACTCCCAGTCTATCCCTTCCCACCCCCCTCCCCCGGCAACCACAAGTTTGTATTCTATGTCTATGAGTCTGTTTCTGTTTTATATTTAAGTTCACTTGTCTTCTTTTTTTTTTAGATTCCACATATGAGTGATATCATATGGTATTTTTTCTTTTTCTGGCTCACTTCACTTAGAATGACATTCTCCAGGGCCATCCGTGTTGCTGCAAATGGCATTATGTTGTGATTTTATGGCTGAATAGTATTCCATTGTATAAATATACCACAACTTCTTTATCCAGTCATCTGTCGATGGACATTTAGGCTGTTTCCATGACTTGGCTGTTGTAAATACTGCTGCTATGAACATTGGGGTGCTGGTGTTAAGACCCTCTCTTTACTCTCAGCGTACTAGTACTTATTTAAGGTGGCCCAGGCTTGCCTAATGCAGAGCCAGGGTTCATCACTTATCTCACAAAGCTTTCGTTAACTAGAGTCAGATTGGTATTGGAAATAAGCCTGAAGTCAGGAAACTTGAGAGAGCCAGATGATCCAAATGATGGTTATAAACACCTGAAAGGAAATAAGGTGTAGGAAGCTTTTAGGCATTTGAACAGCAGGTCACTGAAATGCATTTAGGGAGTAGTAATCCATACCATATTGACAGTAGTAGTTCCTTATTTCTTCTTAATCATGCCAAGGGCCAGCCACCTAGTGAGTGTGTGCCGTATTCCTCGGGTGTGCTGGAGCAGAAGGAAAAAAGGTTTTAGAACCATAGACTTAGAAGATGATAGTCTCCCTCTGAGTTACTGATTACAAGACCCCCGTAGGATATTTGGGATTATCAGGATGAGAATTAATAAAAAAGATTGAAAATTGTATGGTCTCACCTAGAAAACTATGGATTTCTGGTTACTGTACTGAGTTGGAATTAAGAGTATTTCAGTTAATCTTTTAGCAAATATGTATTAAACATCGAATCCAAGGAAATTAGTTTGTGGGGTGTGTTAAGGATCCTGTATGAAACACCATGAATGTAAAATGAAGGCTGAGAAAGGCTGTCTGGCTTTTACACTTTTGGAGTATAACCACATATTTTTTTCACCAAAACCTTGACCTAAAGATAGGTTTAGAACCGAAGGAAAAAAAACAAACCAAGTATAATACAATTTAACATAATCATTGCAAACTTATAGAACTCTTTCACCAAGAAATGGTAACACTGAAAATTCTTTGAAAGCATATAGATAAATTGATGAAAGACTAGATAAGTCAGGCATTGCAGGAGGTTGGGGAAGGCTCTCAGACCCTCAGGTACTAAGGAGAGTGAAAATGGAAGGAAATGAAAAGTGGAGGTGGCCCTGGATGTGGCTGACGCAGTTGTGGGAGGGAAGCCCAGTGTCTGGAGGTGAGACTCTAGGGGTGGACGGGTCAAGCCGTGCTGGCCTTACAGCCTGTATTAAGGGGTCTGTACTTGATTTTAGATGTCCTCACAACATCTAGGTATGTTTATAGGTCTTGAACACTGAGAGATTGATCATATGTGCCCTTTTCTGTGATGGGAGTTTTGTTTAGCATCTGATACAGGTACGCTAGTTCTTGAGACGTTGTTATCATTCGGTGGTCATTGTTTCCATGTATATTTGTTGCATACTGCACTAGTAGTTTGAGCTTACCAGGTAGTTGGGGGTGTTTTCAGTATTTACCAACAAATTATTAAGCACTACTTTGGATCATAAGACAATACATACCTTGAAATAGGACAAGATTATAAATAATAAAGTGCAGCTTGTATGGTGGTTCAGACAATAATTTAGGAATTCAGAAAAGGAAAAGATTAGTGTTCGCTGGATTAGTCAAGGAAGGCTTCATGAAAGAATTTTTTTAAATTTGTTTTATGCAGTCAATACTAATAAGCTCTATGCCAGGTACCATGATACCATAAGCAGCTTTAACACGACTGAGCCCCAGAATCCTGAGCCCCAGGGTAATATATCAACACTTTATTGTACTGGAATTGGGTGTACTGGAATATAATGACATGTGTGATTTAATTTCCTGTTTTTCCTGAATCCCCTTGTTTTGACCCCTCCCCACAGGATTTTCAGTTTAGAGCACTGAAAAAGGTGAGAATCTTTGACTCCCCTGAGGAGCTGCCCAAGGAACGCTCAAGTCTGCTTGCCGTGTCCAACAAATATGGCCTGGTCTTTGCTGGTGGAGCCAGTGGGTTGCAGATTTTTCCTACTAAAAATCTTCTTATTCAAAATAAACCTGGAGATGATCCCAATAAGATAGGTAAGTTACTTGATTTATGTTGCCTGATAGAAGAGTGTAGTGAAGTTTGCTAACGCAGTTTGCTTCCCAAGGAATCATCCTGGTACTAAAATTACAACTGCTGTTAGTCCTAGGATCAATTCCTTGAGAATAAGTTCTAGGTGGGCTGTGGGAAGCCTTTCTGGGTGTTCTCTTTGATCCTTTGTATTTCTCTTTTGATGAAGTTCCCCTCTGAGGTCAGAGAGAAGAACAGTTTGCCCTGCTTTTTAAAATTTTTGCTCAGTTAAACTTGGTTTCTGACTCTCCAGGAAAAGAGTTTTGTTGCTCGGCTCTTTAGTTGACGCAACAGCACCATCCAAACAAATGGGAATGTGTACTGTTTGGAGCATTGTTGCAAAAATACAGGACAGGGCAGTATTTTCAACAAGGGCAACAGCCGCGGGTAGTGTCTCCAGGTCACGTGAGGAAGGGCCCCCAGGATACTTAGTGCATTGTTGCTCATCTGTCAGACAGCTAAGATTTATCTGCACAGCTAGGTAGCAGGCTGTGTGCATATGTTTGTGTAGATGCGAAAATTATTTCACATAGACCTGAATAGAGGGGTTGTGGCTTCTGCTTAGAACATTCCATTTTCTGCTTTGTGTTTTTTTATGTTTTCGTAGTTGATAAAGTTCAAAGCTTGCTAGTTCCTATGAAATTCCCGATACACCATCTGGCCCTGAGCTGTGATAACCTCACACTTTCCGTGTGCATGATGTCCAGTGAATATGGTTCCATTATTGCTTTTTTTGATGTTCGCACATTCTCAAATGAGGTAAGCTGCCGGGAGACTGTAGGGACCTAAGGTCAACATGGGACCTAAGGATTGAATCATCGCCTAGAAGTTCTTGGTTGACCTTTGAATTTTTTCTAGATTAAAATATGGGTTTTTAAAACGTTCTTAATTATAGAATCATAGATCTTTGAGACAGAAGTGACTTCAAGAAGTCATTTCAGGAGGGAAGGCATAGCTCATTGGTAGAGTGCATGCTTAGCAGGCACGAGGTCCTGGGTTCAATCCCTACAACCTCCATTTAAATAATGAATAAATAAAAACCTAATTATCCCTCCCACCCAAAGAAGAAAGAAATTATTTCGTAACACCGCCTGCCCCAAGGTGTTTTCATTTCTCATTTACATGTGAGACAGCCAAGGTCCAGGGATCCTTAGGTGACTTGCCCGAGACGGTAGAGTTAATAGATACTGTCCGAAGCTCTCACATCTTGGGTCTCTGGCCTCCTAACGCAGTGTTCCTCCATCCCGGGCCGTTTGGTAAAGCTAATAGTCAGTGGTGGCGCGCGTGTGTGCTGGCTGTGTGCCAGGCCCTGTGCTGCACCTTCCGTGCCTTGTTCCAGTCAGGCCTGCCTCGCGTGGCCTTACACTGTGGGTGCTGTCTTCTTCATCTCCCTGCCGGAAGAGCGCCCCAGAGAGTTTTAGTACCTGTTCAGAGGCCCAACACTGCTTGGGGGTTTTTTTGGTTTGTTTGCTTTTGGTACCTTGTATATCATTAATCTTTCATTAGCCTTCTACCACAAGTCTTTTAATGAGGCTGTTTTGGAAATTTGAAGCCTTTTGAGGATTCTGCCTACCAATTAAAATAAGTACAATAGTTTAAGGTGAGAGCACTCTAAAATTCAAGGGCGCAGCACTGCTAAGAATCAGGGCCTAGATGTTAATTCAGTGTCTGCTCTTTATTGGTTATTTTGCATTTGTGTGTGCATGTGTTAGGAATCCCTCCTAGCACGCTAAAATAATGGCCATTTTCAAAGTTGTGTTAAAATTGTAACAAATAGGTTGTCACGTACAGCTACATATTTTTTCATGGTCACAGAGAAAAGTGAACTGTAATTTGAGAAAACTTGCATATTCCAGAATTTTCTTTGACTATTGAATGTCTCCTCATTAATTTATTTGTTTTGGTTTCTGGGCATTTGTTTTAAAAGGCTAAGCAGCAGAAACGCCCATTTGCCTATCATAAGCTTTTGAAAGATGCAGGGGGCATGGTGATCGATATGAAGTGGAACCCTACTGTTTCCTCCATGGTGGCAGTTTGTCTGGCTGATGGCAGCATTGCTGTCCTCCAAGTCACAGAGACAGTGAAAGTGTGTGCGACTCTTCCTTCCACAGTAGGAGTAACGTCTGGTGGGTAATAAAATCTTCTACTCTGTAACATATACTAACGGTAATCTATTTAAAAATAAATTTCTGGAAAAGAAATTGGGTTTTTTGTTGTATTTGTTGTTTTTTGGCAGAAGTGGAAAGAGTATTTCCATAGTTAATGTCCTTGAAACCAAACAGCATACATAATTTAATTTGAATGTTCTTGGGTTTTCTGAAGAAAGAAATATTTTGGTATAGCTGGTTTAGAAGTGTGTTTTTGAAAATAATTGTTTTGATCTGAAAGGGTCATACTCTGAAACAGCCATTTGTACCTTCAGCAGAAAAGTGTTAGAAAACATCAAATAGGAGCAAGAGAATGATTTCTTGATATTTGAAAACTTTGTTCTTCTTGTATCTAGAGACTATAGAGTTTTTATACTTTACAGCTTCCTGGGCAATACTCCTTTGAAAAAGCATTTTTAGCAGCTGATTCAGTGGCCCAGTGATAAATCACAATTGGCTTATATTATCAAAATGATTTTTCTTCTTTTACTTTGCCTAGTAAGGATGATCCCACAGTCTTTCATGGGCTGACAGAGGACATAGAGGTAGTGATTATGTAGGTGTTTTGGTGCAGATCTCATTGGTTTGCTCCATTTTCTTCAGTTTTTAACTGGTGGCATTCTCTTTACTCAGTGTGCTGGAGCCCCAAGGGAAAGCAGCTGGCAGTGGGAAAACAGAATGGAACTGTGGTCCAGTATCTTCCTGTAAGTCTTCCTTTGGACTTCAGAACTTTTTAAATTAAGTTGCCTACTGTTTTGGAGGTGGTTTGGGAGTATTTTTGATGTTTTTTTCCTATTAAAATGTAACTCACACTGATTGCAACAAATTTATCAGTACCCGTGTGAATGTGGGGTAGAGTTGTTGCATGTCCACTCTGTCGTCCTCTCACTGTGGGCTTCCAGCAATAACACTCATGAATATTCTTCAGTGTAAATTGACAGAGAATGCATGTATGTCCAGTCAAGTCTGGGTGGGAAGGATCGGTTCACGGGCAACGTCAAAGCCTGTGTTGTGTGTTCCTCCTGTTCTCAGAGGGGCTGCAGAGTGTGAATGTGGTGGAATAGGTGTCAGGTTAAAGGTTTATTTCTTTTTTGTTACCACAAAAACTTGTAATGTGAAATTTGGTATGTATTCTTTTAGGGCATAAAAAGATAATACAGTTGGTTTAATTTTACTGTTTGCCTTTTTAAAAAATATCTTAATAGTGTATTGAAGTCTTTTTTCCATCCCATTATGCATAGAGCTACTTCATTCTTTTGAATGGCTGCATAGTAGTCTGCTGTTGAATGTGCTGTAATTGACTTACCCATGCATTACTGATGGTTATCTGCATCAGTAAGAGTGGTTTTGCCACTATAAATGGTATTGCGTTGAGCATCCTCATACCTACATCCAATCACCTTCATGTGAGCATTTCTGTAGGATGGGGTTCTAGAAGTAGGCATCCCCTCTTCTCTGTGTTCATCTTCTCTTGGCTGGAAACATGAGACTTAGGTGGCTTCTAGGGGAACATACTGTATTTGGCAGTCTCGTCGTTTTGCGGTTTGTTATATCTGACACTTCTTTTCAAATCTCTATTTCAGACTTTGCAGGAAAAAAAAGTCATTCCTTGTCCTCCATTTTATGAGTCAGATCATCCCGTCAGAGGTAACACATCTGATTCTTACTGGGCTGACCTCTAAAGAGGTGCTGCTGTCTGTATTGCTAAAATTTCAGATCATGTGATGTAACTGTATACCTGCTCAAGGCAGTGTTGATGTATGAAAACTCATTATTTCTCTTAGCTAATTAAGTCGCTGTAACAATAATCCTCTGGTAGATGTCTGTGTCTCTGGGTAAATGCCATTAAATGTGGATCCTAGTTTTTTAGAATTCTTCATAATTTGCCTTGATCGTAATCCATCAGAAAAAAAAAATACCACTTTGGGATAAATTTGGGCTTCTTGAGTCTTTGTGAATTATATTTAGTCAGTGAAATCTGGACCTTTGTTAAAGCTATAGCAGTTGGGTTTTTTATCCATGAGGTGTTAATTTTATAATATACTGAGGTTAATCTAAACACAAGATCCTTTACTAGAATGTATGTCTTTCAGTTCTGGATGTGCTGTGGATCGGTACGTACGAATTCACAATAGTATATGCTGCTGCAGACGGAACCTTGGAAACTTCCCCAGATGTGGTGATGGCTCTGCTCCCGGTATGTGTATGAAAGGGGTGCCTTCAGGTTCCTTTCCGTATGTCGGTGGTGGTGCAACTCGAGGTGTAAGATTTTAATGCTGCACCATGGGCCTGGGGACCATATTACGGTGTCTACTTAGAGCATGTTCTTCTGTTGAGTCACAGGGTGAAAAAAGTCATAAAACTTACCTTTGCTCAAGCTGTGAACTGTAAGTCATGGTAGGTGTTAACCTGATAAAGACATTTTAGAAAAGCAAGAAAATACTTTGATTTTTAAATTTTATTGACTTATTTATTTGTCAGATATTTACTGAATGCCCACACAGTGTGGTTTAGAGCTCAGAATACAGCTGTGACCAAGGCAAAGTCTTGGCTTTTGTGGGTGTTGCATTTGAATACTAGTCCACAGACAAGTGTTGGATTGAGGAGTGATGAGGGGCGGAGGATGACTGGCGTGCCGCTTAGATTGGGTGGTCAAGGAAGGCCTTTGAGGAAGAGCCATTTAAGTGAGGGAGTGCGTCATTTTGACGATGAAGAAGGAAGGACATGAATAATAAGGTCCACAGCGTCTTACTAAATTGCAGTCGCAGTGAAAAAAAGAAAACAGCAGGTGAGACAGGACTTCCATTTCCAAATCCTGCTAGCCTTCAAAGTTTAGAAACATGCTGAACACATACATAAATGTTTAAATATAACAAAAGTGGGAGTTGCACTAGTCATTCTGTTTTGCAGCCTTGTTATACTGAGTAAATTGCAAGCATCTTTCTATGTCAATAAAATCTGAATTTTGCTTTTGGACAGTCAGTTTATTTAGCGCTTCCTCTCCTGGTGGTTACTCAGCACGTTTTCAGCTTTTCCCTATTTTAAAGAATGCTTACGTTCCTTAATGTACATTTTGTGAGTTATGGGTTTTTTTTAGAATTAATACGTAGAATTGAATTTGCTATATCAAGCAGTATATGCTTTCCTGATAGGCTTTTGAAAACATTGCCAAAGTATCTTTCAGAAAAGTTATATCCGTTTATACTCCTACCCGCAGTGGGACTGCCAGTCACCCAACAGGTGTGTCAGTATGCAGTGCTACCATTTTCATCTTTGCCAATCTGAGATGAAAAAACGTACCTTGTTTTTACTAACTCTTTTGGATTCCTGATAATAAACATATTTTTAAAATTCCGACCAAATTAAGATGCTATTTCAAGATGTCATTAAGGTTTTCTGTTCCCAGGGATAATAAATTAATACTAGCATTTGCTGACTCCTGCTTACGTCCGAAGTGCTGGGCTAGACGCCTCACCTATGTCCATTCATATCACACTTACAACAGCGTTTGATGGAGGTTTGAAGGTCCATCATGCATGTGGGAAAACAAACGTTGAATAATCTGTCTGTATGAAGTGGCAGAAAAGTTTGAATTCAGTTTGGTCAGCGGCCAATGTTTCTATTCTTTGTGCTGCTCACTGCTGCCTTTATTTCATGTCTGTATATTTGGACATAGATTTTGACATGAATTTTCTCATAAAACTTAAAATGATTTAATTTTTTGAGATCCTTAACTGTGTAGGATTAAAGAAAAATTGTCCATGAGATTTTTGTTTTCTCTCATTCTGTTCATTGTAGAAAAAAGAAGAAAAGCACCCAGAGGTGTTTGTGAACTTCATGGAGCCCTGCTACGGCAGCTGTACAGAGAGGCAGCATCATTACTACCTCAGCTACGTTGAGGAGTGGTGAGCGCGTACCCAGGGGCGGGGTTTCTGCCCTCACCGTCAGCTCACACCTGATTCACTTTGTCCTGCTTGTTCTGTTCTGTTTCCTCTCAGTAAGAGGAAAGTAGAGGATGGAGATGCCCTGAACATATTTTCAGCTGATGCTGGATAATGCCTTTCTGACTACTGCTTCTGTTTCCCCAGTCTTGAATTATTTAGCTCAAATACATACTCAACTTAAAAATCCAGTTTTTCCAATAATACCAGTGATGACTTAAGAAAGTACTGATATGTAAGGAACATATTAAAAGTTTTCCTCTGAGCAGAAGTGTCTCTTTGAAAGATAAATTACTTGAAGCAAAGCTTCTGTCCTCTAACTATGTTATCCTCTCTACAGGGCAGTACATTTATTGGGAATTCTGCCTTGATTCTGTTGTTTCTCTCCTTTGTCTTAGGTGGGCAGATGAGCCTATGAACTAAAAAGTAAAGCTTTACAATGAAAATCTTCTTACCTTTCCTCAACCATGTACAAAACCTTGACTTCCTCCTTGACATTTCGAGGAAATCCTTGTAGATGTTACCACTGACTTAAGTCAAGGTGAAACTGTTGCTGTTTGAATTTAATGGTCTTCTGATTTTATTCTTTGAAGGGATTTAGTGCTGGCAGCATCTGCGGCTTCAACAGAAGTTAGTATCCTTGCTCGACAAAGCAGCCAGGTAAATGTCTCACTTTTGTCCCTTTTATGTGATGCTTCTCTGAGGAAGATTTTGGAGGGAGTTAACTATGAGGTTAAGCTTTAGATGAAGTCACATCCCTTTTAATGAGTTTCTGGATAAGAGCAAAGCTTAAATGACACAGAGCCTTGGGCCAAATGGCTTGGGTATTGCATTGGACAAACATGGGTGTCAGATTTAGCAGTTCCTTCAGTATCATAAAGAGCCCTTCTGTGTGTGGTTGCATCCACGTGTGTGGACACATACTAGTAATCAGCTTCCAATAGGAGTGGGTACACCTGGATGTTTACCTGGGAGGTTTTTCCTGCTGGATGTGTACCTAGGTATACCTGGCTGTATGCCTAGGGGGTTTTTTCTGCTTTGTTCTGTTTAACCATCTTTGTTTTCTTCCTGTTACTTAAAACCTTCCTTTTCTGTTAAGTTGACTATAACCCATCCGTGACTATAGATGAGAGACATGCAAATCAAACCAAATTGAGACTCATCAGAAATACTTCCTGTTTGACTTTGCAAAACTACCAGAAAGCTAAAAGCACCTGTGTGTCTAAGCACCAGTCTCCCTTCTTCCGCTTTGTCCTCCTCGCAGGCCAGAAGTGGGCCGAGGGGGTCCAGGCACGGCCGCCCTGAGCTGGGGTAGGCTACGCAGAGTGACTCCGCAGGAGGCACAGTGAGAGGGAAACTTTTCTTCCTTTCTTTATTCTTCAGTTATATAATTAGTAAAGGCCAGTTAATGGTTGTATTAAATTTGGCTGTACATCAAGAATAAACATTTCTTTACAGAAGCCACAAGACATTTTGAAAAATTGTACCAAGTCAAATATAGAAAAGACATTGCATGGTTTATGACATTGTGATAAAGCTGGATGATAATACAATTTTAAACAAAACAAAATGGAAATACTGGTAAATGTATATACATGTACATAAAATCACTGTTTGAAATAATTCAGGTCAAAGAGAATCTCAAAGCTACAGTTGCAGACTACTCAGAAATGGTGGCAGAGACAAACATGAAAACCTAGAGCTGTGCTTACAGAATAAGAGAGAATGAAGAGTTAATGAGCAACAGATGACCAGTCAACACAGTGTTTGATGTACAATGTGAGCCAAATTTAGCACCTTTGCTGCGCTTTGTAAAGGATTGTGAGAGAGGAATGCAGAGAGCTTTGAATGTGGGTCAGTTACATATTAAACTAATCAAAACCAAGTGGATGAGAAGTCTGCCAACTTCAAAGATTTTTTTTTATTGCTAAGAAAACCAGGATGATGACCTAAAATTTCTTTTACTTCTGAACATTAAAATGATAAACTATTTTTCTGCTGCCGTCTTGGTGTTAGGTGTGGCTACATGGATTGAGTTCCACCTATTGCAATGGGATCAGAAGTTTCCGTGCTAATTCTAGGCCTGGCCTATGAAGCTATAGGCCTCCTCCATTTGCTTTTCCCTTTGTCACATGGATGCAAAGGACCAAAGTACTGGCTTGTGCAGTCACAAGCTAGAAGGAGCTTGGGTCCTTGAATACAGCTGCTGGGACAGCCACTCTGCCAACTTGAATACCCAGTTAGACTCCAGAAGTCTCCTGTGATGTTGGACTGGTGCCTTGGTGTACCCTAAATAGTGAACTAGGGAAAAGGAAACAATTTATGGACCCATTAAATACAGATAAGGTGATATCTGTATTTAGGAACACTGAATCTGAAATCCCAAATTAAATATCACTACATTAAATAGGATACTAAATGAAAGAATCGTATGCAGTGAGCAAGTGGAGTTTATTCCAGGATTATTTTTCTATCAAATATAAATGTTTAAGTGACCACTCCTTGAAGAGGCATCTTAAACGAATAATGTCTGTAACTGAATTCCTTTTTCTCCCAATACTTGCCCCTCCTTCAGGTTTTTCCCTTTGTAGGTTAATCTCCATTCAATCAATTGCTTAAGCAAAAATTATGGTGCCATCCCTGACTCTATTTCTCTCATATCTCACATCTGTTAAAAGGTAATGTCTGGTCTACTTACAAAATACATATGAATTCTGACCATTTCTTACAAGTCCTCAGTCAGAAACTTTTCTTTTCAAGTTTAAAGATATTCTGAGTTTAAAGATACTCTGTGCACCCCGTGCACAGATACATATACCTTTTCAATCAGACAACATTTATCCATTATTCTCTGGGTGGTGGGGTGGCCCACCGTGAGTGCATAGCTCTCATCAGGTCCTGGAGAGGTGACTTTGGGGTCATAGGCCAGATACCAGCAGTGTGATAGGCTGATCTTGGATTAACTTCAGTAGTAATTTCCTAGTAGCAAAAATATTTTATGTATTCACACATTAAAAATATACTTCTATTTCTGCTTTCTACCAAAATAATTTATGTTCATGGTTGAAAAAATCAAATAATGATAAAGGGCTTTTAAGTGAAAAATCATTACTGCTCATCCTGTCCTGATCTGTCCTGTTTCTCTAAAGGGGACCATTTTTAACATGTAAACTTTCTCTTTCAATGGTTACCTCCCTATCCCTCAAAAATAATCTGCTGTATGACTAGTTGTCGATGATTAATTTTAGACTTTATTGGCCCTGGTGGCAATCGAGGATTTAGCTCATATATGTCCTTCAAACCATTCCCCCCGCCTCTCAGTAGGGTTATAGGAGTGTTTTATTTCTTCTGTTGGTTACCTTTGAGCCAACTAAGTAATAATTTTTACCTTCATTTCTTACGGTATTACTATATAGCGTATCTCCTCATCTTCCACTCTGAGAGAAGAGCATCTTGGCAGCCCCCTTGCCTTTCACATACCTCCCCTTACTCCTGCCTTCATCTGTGTCTCGTCTTCTGCAAAATCAAGACTGATATTATTTGAATTCTGTAGTGATTAGCAGGCCTTTATTTTGTCTGTATATTATTTTTCAAAGTTGGAATCAGTTTTGCTTATGTTATGAATGTGACTATTATTTATCCATAGCTAAGTCATTGGAGTGCAGTGATGTTCCCTTTTCTGATCTGCTTTTTGTTCTTCTGTTTCTCATTGAGCTCTATTCCCCTTTGATTCATGCTGCTCAGATTTGGTCAACGTTAAAAGTTGGACAAAATGTCCATGATTTTTAAAAATCAGGAATCATTTGTTGCAAGGAACAAATATCACTCAAGCAAATCTGAGCAAAGGGGGAGTTTATTGGAAAGACATGGTGGTTTCTCAAGGAATCCAGTGGCAGGAAGATTGACTAGTGTAAGGGACTGACTCCGGGGTCTAGGTTACCTTCTGTCTCTATGGACAAGTGAGCACAGGGCATCTGGCCGGTGTATAAGATCTGCTCAGGACTGCAGTAGAGATCACCTGTAGTTCCTTGTCCCCAGCCCGGATTTATAGGAACAGGTACTGACCAGCCGAGTGCAGCTGTTAGAATTACCCACTGTGTTCAGGAATCTACCTGGTTGTGGTGGACGGTACTTCAGAAAGTGTTCACGATGGTGGTGGTTCATTCACAAGGCAGGAACTTTGTACACCGGGAACAGACAGACAGGTTGATTTGGGAAAGTAACCCCTCGCCTGCTGGGGGACTCATAGCTTTTAGGCTCTTTCCAGATTTCAGAGTCTCAGGCAGCACGTAACTAACAAGTGAATTGTCCTTTTTCTTCTCTCCTGTTTGAGCAGTGCCAGGGAAAGCGCTAACCAACATGGCATTTTCTTCTTGGTTCTTTTTTCCAGAATAATTGGGAATCTTGGCTACTGGAGGATTCTAGTCGAGCTGAGCTGCCTGTGACAGACAAGAGTGATGATTCCTTGCCCATGGGAGTTGCCATAGATTATACTAACCAAGTGGAAATCCCCATCAGTAAGTACAGCCCGACGTCGCTCAGTGCGAAAACGGTCTTCTTCCCGTCGAGGTTAGTTTGGGAATCCAGCTCTGTGTTTTCATGACAGAATCAGGTCTGTGGTACACTTTTAACTTGTAACACGTTTCTACTTGAAGAGTGAGATGCAGTGCATTTTGACAGCACTCGTCTAATTTGTATGGATATTCATTGAGGTGATCAAGGTCAGATACCGTGTGTGCGTGCACGTGTGTGCGTGTCTGTGTGTGCTTTAGAAGGTGGCTGAAACACAGAACCAGATTTCATAGTTTTGTTTCTTTGCCCCTTCCAGTTTCCCCAGTGCCTCCCAAGGGAACAACACCCTAGGCAGGTGCTGTGTACAGTACTTGGTTTGATGGCTTGGATTAGAAAATCAGGGCCTCGAGCCCAGGCTTCCCAGTGGGGCCTGAGCATCTGCTCTGGGTCTGTCTTCTCCCCTGCTGAGGCCGGGCAGGGCTGCAGTCCCACGAAATGCGAAAGTGAGACAAGATGTATCTTTGCTCTTTATGCTCATTTTATGCTTCATTTTAGAGAGATGTCCCTGTAAGGCACCATTAAGTTCCTTTTCCTTTTCCCTGATCCAGCTCTTGATCTGATTAGGTCATTTACTCTGTTTCTCTTGGAAGACTTTATTAACATAATACATGCTTATGGTTCAACTGTGAGTGAGTATAAAGCAGTTCGACTCACTTTCCTATGTCCTCCTGTATGTTTTCCAGAGAGTAATCTGTCGTTGTTACTAAGCCAGTCACTTCCTGGAGACTCCTGTCTGGGTCAGGGGAATACTAAACCTACAAGCCGAACACTGGAACACACATAAAAATCAGAGCTCTGGGAGGGTCAGCGCCACCGCAGGGCTGCCGGAGCTGCCGTGGAGGGCTGGCGGCACGGTGGCCATCTGAGCATGGCAGCAGCTCTTCTTTGAAGGGCTGTTGCGTGGAAGGCTGTTCAGATCTGGATCAGAGCAGACCGACCGAGCTGCTATAGAAATGAGTCCAGTAGAGGCCTGCTGCTCGGGGCAGCCTTCCCCTGCTGAGCCCAGGCCCTTCGGCTGACTTGGCTCTTCTGTCACGTTTGTTTTCTTTTCTAACAGGTGATGAGAAGACTCTTCCTCCTGCTCCAGTTCTTATGTTGCTTTCAACAGATGGTGTGCTTTGTCCGTTTTATATGATCAATCAAAATCCTGGCATTAGGTCCCTCCTCAGGACACCAGAGCGGCTCTCGTTAGAAGGAGAGCGGCAACCCAAGTCATCAGGTACGTGCCTCTCCATTTTTGCCAAGAGGGGATACCAAGGGCCTGTACAGGAGTGTCTGCAGGGACGAATACTGCAAGGCCCCACAGTGGTTATCTTTAGCAGCCAGTCTATCTTACAGAGGCAGGACTAACCTTTTCCTTGAACACACCCACGTCCTTGCCTTCTCCAGCCTTTATTTTAGAGAAAAAGGAAGCTCAGCCAGATGGAGCCCATTAGGGAGTTTGCCAACAATATCCTATTATAAGACCCTGTATTATACGGTCTGGAACCTAACACATTTAATCATGAAGGGATTGGGGTAAATAAATGATTGTATGTCTGTGTAACAGTGAAATGCCATGTAACTATTTCAAATGTATTTATTGAGAAGGAAAAGAGCAGAACAGATCGTGAAAAAGCACTATATACTGTGTGATGTGAGTCCTTTTTTATGAGAATAATATATACACAGAAAAAAAACACTTGAAAGATTAAATTCTAAGTAGTGGCTGTTTTTGGGTGGTGGAAACATGGGAATTTTCTTTTCCCTTTGTTTATATTTAATTTCCTTTAGTTTTTTTTTCCCCTCTTCTTTCACAGTGTCACTTAAGTAATATGTGTTTATTGGAGAAAAATTAGAAAATGCAAAAACAAAATCACTTAAGAGCCCATCAGTCCTCAAGCAGTAGCCAGTCAGCATTTTGGTACATATTCTTCATGCACACAAATGCATATGTGTAAATGCCAGTGTGCATTTTCAGAATTTTCACAGTGATAATGTATCACTTGTGAAAACAAAATAACTGTTTAAAAGGGCATTGTTTCCTATTTTGGAATTTCACTAATATTTCTCTTTTTGAATTCTGTGAGTGTATAACCTGTAATATTTTCCTCTTCTAATGTGGCTAAAAAAGCTTGTAGCTTAACCAGTTCTATGTCTAAGAATACGTTGACCATTGGTGTTGGATACAGTTGAGAACATTTAGGGTTATCTTTTCTCACTGCTTCCCAGGGCAGAGCCAGTTGTACGTCATAAATAGAGCCACTCAGGTACTTGGGCTCCTGCCAACTGGCAGTGTGACCCCAAGTAATATACCAGGTGCCTTGCGTAGACTGTACCAGTGTTGTTGTGTTGAGATAGCTCGTTGTCTGCAGTGTGTGTTCTCTCGAGTGAGTTTTTTCTCCTTTTAAGTGCTCCTGAGTCTCACGAACTACCTACATTCAGTTGCCTGGTCTGTCTTCAACAAGCAGTGTACGCTGTCAGGTCAGGAGCCTGTGGGATGGTGTTTGTTTCTGAGCACAGTTCAGTGTAAGGGACTTCGCTGCTAGCGCCTCAAGCCGCTGAGCACAAGCAGAGGGCAGTTGTACTGTTTGCCTCTCCTAGAGAAACCTCATCTTCCCTCATGCTTTGTCCAGAGCTAATAGCCGTGTTCAGGTGAGGGGAGGGGAGCTGCTGAAGGCTGCCAGTTCACCAGCTCTCGCTAAAGCTGGGTCATGGGTTCATAGGACATTCACATCTCCACCCACTTCCACACTCCAGCCTCAAGGATGCTGGGTTGAATGATCAGAAAGAGCAGCATGAGGGTTTTCAGATATTTAGTTCTATTTCCAGTGGGAAAAATGCCTATGATTTCTTTTGGATTTGACATACACTTTTCATGTTGGTCTGCTAAATGCATGGAAGTGATTAACATTTGTGTGCTTGGGTCTTTAAAGAAGTTAGCTGTTGCTGATTCCGTATTTACTGTGTCAAGAAAGTATTAACAGTTTTACGTAGTAACCTATAATGAAAAAATATGTACATATGTATGTATGAGTGAGTCACTGTGCTGTTCCCCAGAAACTAAGACAGTTGTAAATCAACTATACTTCAATTAAATATATGTATACATTGAAAAAAAAGAATAGATTTGCTTGCATTATATTCTTTCATAGAAGGGACAATTTACTTGGGGGTCTTTGTTTTCATAAAGTGTAATTTTCATACTTGTATCCTAAGTATTTCATTGTTTTAGACATAGTGAGGAGAAGCTGTCATCCCCGATGATTTAGAAGAACCAAGACCATAAATGTATTGATTAAAAAATATTGCTTTCTTAGTTATTTAGAGAATTAACATACTTACTTTGTAGAAAGTTTGGAAAATAGAAAAAAATTTAAGCTTGTCTTTCCAGTGTTTTTCCATAAACATCTGCATAGTTGTTATCATACTGTATACCTAATTGATATGCAGGCTTTTAGTTTAAATTTTAAGTGTTTTCCAGGTTCTTACATAATTTATATGATTTATTTAAGAGTGACTTGAATATTCTACTGAATATATTTTACCATTTGGGTCGTATTAAGTATCTTTTTCATTTTTTAGGTGATTTTCATAGGCTTTATTCTTAGAATTGGAATTACTGGGTCTATTTTTTATGATTTTTGAGACATAATGCTAAAATGTTTTCTAAGAGGCTGTTAAGTACTTGCTAGTAATAAAAAGTTTCAGGTTTGGGTGGGGGTAGGGTATATCTCAGTGGTAGAGAGCCTGCTTAGCACGCACAAGGTCCTGGGTTCAATCTCCAGCACCTCTATTAAAAAAAAAAGTTTCAAGTTTGGTTCAT